ATACCCCATCTTTATGCACTTTTCAGAATAGTTGCACTATGGGACACCCTGTGTGATAATGCGCTTAATATGCAAGGAAAAAACCAACGATGATAGGGTGGGAAAACTGGAGAAAACGGGAAATAAACGGAAAATGGGAACGCGAACGGGATAAGCGACAAAAACTAGCGCGCTGGAGAAAAACAATTTATAATTGAAATCAGTGTCAAGACAGAGCCACAATAAGAACAACAACAATGACAACAACATTAGCAAAACAAGCTAAACCAAGAACAAGAACAAACAAGCATGTTGCTGCAAGCGGCAATGCCAATGGGGCAAGCGTTGCGGCACTTTACTCAAATGGCCAACAGCTGAGAAAGAGAGAATGGTAGAAAAAAGCGCTTTAGCTGCTGAAATTAGAGACAAAAATAAAAACACAAATTAGCTAATGTTAAATAAAGCCAATTTCGTTAAAGTTGTGCAAGCTGCTGCTGCTGCTGCTGCTGCTGCTGCTGCCGTTGCACGAGGGGCACTGTCAGCGACAGCGGACCCAGGCACAGATATGAGCCCCCAGGGGCAATGGCAATGCGTCCCTTCACAATTGGGTCAACTCACATTTGGAGCAAAACTGGCAAATGCGACGAGCCGTAAACAGAGAGAGAGGCATAAAAACAGCTTCGAATTTCAGATATTCTTAAATGCCAGCCAACTCTTCCAACTCTCGCTCTAAACGCTTTAAGTTCCATTAAATTAATTGTCAATTAGATGGTGGGCGGGGCGAATGGACGAGTGGCTGAAACTCAAAATAAAGTGGCATCAATAATTAAAGGCTCTGGCCATGAATGAGGAAAATATTGCTATGCAAAGTTTAATGTATTGCATAGCAAAAAGACAATTTCATCCCGATTAGGTAATAGATATATGTATATCTTTATATTTATGTACATATTTGTCTACAGCTTACTCGATGTCTATACGATGAATCTTTTCTACTCTTGCTCCTTAGTCAAGCACTCACTTGTTTTCTTTTTTTAGAAACTGTCTTAATCTTACATCTGATCTACAAATCTTAAACCCTTTCTCTCTGCAATCTCTTGTTAACACCCATCAAGTAATTGTGACCTTGCAGCACTTTTCTTAATGCAAATGGCTCATTCGATGTTGAATGCAGCTTAAGGACTTGGTAATGCACTAACTAACCCATTAACATGACAATATGGTCTCGTTAGAAGGACTAATGAGAATGAGTGCCGTTTCTCAATAGATATCGCTGCCACAGACCACGGACCAGCTAGCAGTTGAGATAAATGATGGTAATAAACACATATCTAACTAAAAGTTGTGGAGCTTAGAAACAATTAAATATAAATGATTGATGGACTTAAGCGTTATCCTGTTCCGCTCGCTAATGTGGTAACAATTTATTTCATATGCACAAACACAGTTTGCGTTAACATAGCATAATATGTACTTAAAAATTTAAAGTCAAATAGCTCTTGATTTGGCTAACAAAACCGAGCTTTAGGAGGGGCCTAATTAATGGACCAGGACTGGAATGGGAAGCACGTTTGCCAGTTTCCAATTTCAAATAAATATTTAAAGCCAACAAATAAATAATTGTAGGGAGCAGCAGAAATTGACGCTCCAGTTGATATCCAGAGGCGATGAACCGAATTTGTTTGTCTACTGCCTTTTAATTCGTTTGGTTTTCAAGGAAAACCCAGCCGGAACTCATTATTATGCAATGCAATTTGATTAAGCTGTTGAAAATGTTGTTGTTGGCATTTCAAGTTATGCATATTTAAATTGAATTCAGCTTTTTGGTTAGTTTTCGATATTCAATTTAAGTGCCACTCCCCCGCTTTAATGCCAGACATGACACGTGAAGGGCGAACCTTTTACATTTTTTTCTTTATTTTTTCTTCGATTTTTAGATTTCCGTTCAGATGCTCCTGTGACGAAGCTTAGCATCTTCTGAGGATTGCAAATTATTCCGGATCTGGTACCATTTTTCATGTCAAAATTATTTAATTATTGGTGAAGCGGAAAAAAAATGCAGACAGGAATGTTCAAAGTAATCAGCCTAACGTCTAACAGATACCTCGCAGTCACAAAAATATATAAAATATTTTAATTGTGCGTAAATTTGAATTTCAATTTCATCAGATATGTAGCTGACATCAGTAGATTTCCGCTATTGCTGATGTTTGATGTTCAATTAGACGTGAACATAAATTAGGTACAAATTGATAATACTAGTTCTATTTTTCAATAATATTTCCATACAAGTTCTGGTCAAGACCCAGGATAGCATATATAGCGCCCACGTTGATTGTGTAAACGTAAATGTATCCCAATGTGATGCTCCTTCTATTTTTCTGCTCTGGGCTGTTGTATTAAGGTCGTGTTTTTGTCATGTATTAATTTTCCGTCAATCCGGAATAGGAAAAACGGTCGGTCGGCGGGCGGCCGGCGGCCAGCAGCTGTTATTGTTATCCTGAAAATTCGATCTCGTCTCCTCTATCATCAGCGCCTGCCAGGGGCCAAAAGCAAATCTGAAGAGGGCCGTTAAGTGGGCTTAATTGTTATGGCTACAGTTGTGAGTGATGCTTAATTCGCAACCGGAATAGTAAACATTATTGCTTTTTCCAATTAAGCTTCTAAGTACATCGCCCTCGGTTGTGCCTTTAAAAAACATGTTGCCCTCCCGGAAAGCACTTTAAATAAATTAGATTTCAAATATCGAAAGGGCTCTTTCATTTCTTTTTATTTGTTTAATTTCGTTACATTTCGTACATTCGCAATACTTTTATTACGTTGTAATAAATGGCCACAATATTTGCAATTAACAAACAAAGAAGCCAATACATTCTTTTCCCAGCAATTTTTGTTGGGCAACAACCTTGCTAACCTTTGACAAATACCTTTCACTTGACAAGGGCAAATCTCAATTAAATTTATGGAGTGCGATTTAAAAATATTTACGGCTTGTTAATCCAACAGAAGCACGTATAAAATGACAAAATATTCTGAGAAATATTTCAATCAGTGCATTTGAAATATATGCAAACTCCGTCATGCACATGTGATATACATATTTGCAAACAATTTCTTTTACCCTTTGCGCTCATATATATTAAAATTCATTTAAGTGTAAAAATATCATATTTAAACCTCAACTGACAAGAATTTTTTAATAACTTTGACGTTTATTTTTTTTTATTATTGAGCTGGAACATCAATATTGAAAGGTCAGTTGTGCAAATTTATCTCTCCTTTATTTTTTTGCGTTTGTTTACTAAGTTTATTGATGAAATACTTGGACTTTATTCAAGGCAATATCTTTCATATACATTGTTGGCCAGAAGGCAGCAAATAAACTGGATCTACTAGTAATTAAATCAGTAATAAAAACGGCCAGTAGTGAATTTATCTCCTTTTCTTAAAATTTGGAAAATACGAAAATGTGTGTAATTCATGATTGAGCAGTTTATTGATGAAATACATTTACTTTATTCAGTTTATTTATTTCAAACTTTGGCCAGCAAGGAGCAGATAAATCGGATTTACTAAAACTCAAAAAAGTAATAATTGTGTACTTTTATCTCCATTTCTTAAATTTTGAAGAAAAAAAACGGAAGAGTGTTTAGCCCATGATTGAGAAATTTATTTTGGAAATAAGTACTTGTACTTTATTCAAGGCAATATTTGATACATTTTGGCTAGAAAATTGAGCAAATTAAAGTGGATCTACTAGTCCCTGAATCATCAATTCTGAAAAGATCAGTTGCATAATTCGCCCGCTTTTTGTTTTATTTTGGAAAATACGGAAAGGTTTTTAATTTATGATTGAGAAGTTTACTGGTGAATTAGTTGGACTCTGATATCTTTGCATATCTCCGACATATTGGACAGAAAATTTACCGGATGTAATAGTCTCAAATTTCTGCATAGCTTCATCGAATAAGCGCGGCCAAATTGAGTTTGTACCAAGAAAACTCTGGCTGTACAGTATTGCCACCTTTTCTAATTGTTTTTACTTACTTGACGACAAGCTAAACTTTTTATACATGAATATTAAAAAATTTCACTGAAGCCTATTGACGCTAAGTAGTAATATTTAATAAAATCGATGATTTTTATATTATTTAGCTTGCTATATGTATATTATATATATATTATGAAGAGATATATACTATATTTCGTTGACCAGAATTTGGCTGCTTGCCACATGCGACAATTTGGCAACGGGGAAAAGTTTTTCTTTGCCGCATGACCTTGACTGCAGAGAATGCAACTGTCGGCCATTTCGGTCACGCATACAAATACACATGCACACACATACTACATACACACACACTCACACGCACAGACGTAAAAAAAGTTGTTTGGCAAAAGTTTTGAGTTGTTTTTACGTTCGATGCGAAAATGCGAGTCAATTAATTACAGGCCAGCGAGTATAAAAGTATACCAAATCTCTAGCTCGCTTTCTGTCTCTGCCTCACTCTGTCGCCCCCTCTCTTTCAAGCTCTCTGTACGTGTTTGGCAGGTTACTTTCGGAGGCATTCAATTCGTGGCAGCTAGCTGTAAATAGAACGCCGCCACGGACTTTGGGCGATATTTTAGGGATGCCACACAAAAACCCCAAATAAAAATGTTTGGTTTTTATGCCGGGCAATTGGAGACATCAGCCAAAGACATGTGCCACAGATGAGCTGAAGCTCTCCGTCAGTCTATGTGTGTGTGTGTGTGTGTGTGTGTGTGTGTGTGTGTGTGTGTGTGATTGCATAAATAAGAGGGATAAATGAAAGGCTAATGAGGTCAAGCGGGCAGCGGCAATGGAATGTTTTATATTCGACACATTCACTTTTGCCCCCAGTCGAGAGCCACTTATCTCAATTGTTGGTCTGCATGTGTGGCTGTGTATGGGTGTGTGTAAGTGTGTGCGATGACTCTTGATAAGAATCGAGCTATGTTAGTTGTGTGTTTGTGTGTGTGAGTGGAAAGAGCACACTTACCATAAACAGTCTGGCCAACAATTAGCAGCATTAGCAGCCAGCAACTAGGCTGGGGCATAATTCCACATAACCATCTGCCGATGCTCCTCATTTTGTGCTGCGTCTGCTGGTGACAGTCCAGTTGTTGTCTTTGTGCTATCAGCAGCTACTGGTCCACCGCTTCACGGAGCCGCAAAACCCACAATGCAGCTGTAGTTCGGACGACACCTGCAGCTCCCCGGGTCTGGGCTTGCTAAGCGCGCACGCCTTCCAGCCGTATCTGTAATGGAAAGTTTTTATGAGATATTATAAACTCGACAAACTAGTAACCATACGTTAAAAAACATTGTCACCGTTTGGATGTAAGTTTGATAAATGTATGTTTAAAATGATAATTGGCTTAAGTGAGCTCTTTATTTAAAATAGTTGAATGAACTTTCATTTTGCTCGCTTTGCTGTTTTTGCGTATCTTTACGCTTGCTATTCCCAACAAGCTAAAGTTTCGACCAGCTTAATATAGATGTGTATTCATAATAATTTATTTTTGACTACTTTAACATTAGCTGGGTGCTTTTTCAGAATAACTTGGCGCTATTTAACAGCATCTTTTCATGTTAGCAGTATATCGCCTGAATATTGGGTTGAGCTTACTGCACGGGCAACTTGTTCGCTTTGGAAGCAGTTATCCAAATGGATTGTGCGCCTGTTTGTCTACGACTATGGAAATTTTGTGAGTACTTAACGCCACGAGCCGCTTGCTAGGGCAAGTGAAGCGAAAAAAATGTGAAAAACACAACCACACCATAACTCCTCCTCCATCACCAAAAAAAACGCACAGTTGAGGCGTGTAATCAAAGTGTCTGATATCAAAGCAAGAAAAGCGACGACGACAAAGTTATGCATAAATTTTGGACGCCAATTCGACTGAGCGCAAAATCAATACAGGAAATAAATTAGTTTCGGCTCAAAAGCCAAAAAGCCAAACGAAAAACAAAACAAAATGTAGGCGTGTTGTACTCAAATTCCGATTCGTGTGCGGTTGCGAATTCAGATTCGGGCACACGGCTACGGATTCGCAAAAGCGGCAAAAAATAAAACACGTACCAAAGGGCGCTGGTTATCTACTGACCCTGGTGGCATCAAGTGAATGACAATGTGCTGTTATTTTTGCTGTTGCTGTTGCTGCTGCTACTACACTGCGGTCGCACGACCATTGTTTTGCCAGCCTGTGCGCCCCTGGGGGCTTACTGCTGGAATGGGGAAGGCGGCTCTAGAGCCTAATAATAGCCGCACATAAAATTTTATTAGCCAGAGCGTAACAATTCAATTGGGTCATGCTTTATGGCGCCACTAGCCGCATTTTAAAACCAGCCATCGATGTGGGTCAAACGGCAAACGGCAGGTGCCGCGTCCACCTGTCACCAAATAACAAAGAACAGCCTAAAGAATAAACGAAAGTAAATAAACCCTGTGTAGTCACAATTGAACTCTATAATAAACTTAAATTCAATTTCAACTTCAATTCAAATAGGGAACTCGTAGCCAAACGACAATTGGACATAAATTGCATTCGAATGTTTGTATGCAACTCTTAATGCACAGAGCTTCGATCGTCTACTTGATTTTGCTCATGTGCTCCGCAACGTTTTCAACAGCCTCGTTTCTTTTTAAACAAAAATCAGCATCGCCTTTCTATGCAATTTTCAACAAGATGTTGATATTATAACTATGTATACATTCTGTTAAATGGTACATCGCCTTTGTATCGCCTTTTGGGCCAATTAATATTCGAAGAGTTCTTCGGCATGGACTATTGCTTGTCTTGCGCGAATGTGTCAAGGTTCTCAACCGTTTCCTTTGTCATCAATATGCAAATATTTATGCAGATATGTAGTGCTATCAATTTCACATAACCTATTGCTTATGCTTATGTTTTTCCATATGTTTATATCTTGGTCACCCCATCCTCTGTTTAAGCGAGCACAAATGTCTTGTTCTTTATAGCGCAGGCGACACCGCATCTGCCATAAAGTGTCGTAAAGTGCATTAGAGCGCACTTGGCACAACGTAGGCACACACACAGCCACACACACACACTAAACAAGAAAAGAAAAAGCCGGAAATCAGCATGTGAAACAAAAGCAATGCAGAGGCCGCCCTTGAAGCTGGAAAAGAAACGCCTGTGCATAAATATTCATGCGCCCACGCCCACAAGAGCCAACAACAACAGCACCTACAAGATCCGTCAGACCCAGCACCCAGCACCGTAGCCACCGTTGCCACCGTGGCCAGGGGCAACGGCAACTGGCAACGGTGCAAAGGCGCCGCTGATTCCGCATACTTTATGCCATTTCTGATTGTTTATTATTGCGACACAGAGAAAACACAGAACAGACGGTTTGTGGGATGGGCTGCATATGGAAAGAGTTCCAGCTGCCAAAGCAAAAGCATTTAAATGCCTTGGAACATTTATTGGCGTGTTTTACGCGCCATAAACTGAAATTCATAAACATTTTATGCACTACATGTGTAAATGTGTCTCCTCCGTCTACCTCGATGTTTCTGCCTCTGTCCGCGCCCCGCGTCCACTAGCTGCACACTGCAGCTGCATACATGAGCAATGCTCTCTGGACCAACAGGGGCATATTTGTAGCAGTTAGCCAATGAGAGCCCAATGCGAAAAAAAACAACCAAAGATTTCAACTTCGACTTCTGATTGCTCTTGCGAAAACAAGTGTAACACTTTTTTTGTTTACCAAGCGATCGTATTGAAAATCATTTACAATGCAGCAGTTGGGCTTTTCTTATTGAATATATTGGATTTTCAGATGCTAAGACTTACAATTAATTCAACTTATTTTTTATTCTACATAATTAAAAGACTCTACCTACTCACAACCTAAGTGAATATGCTCGGTTCGGTTCGATCTACACACTTGCAACATTTACCCAACGGGTATCCCCCCCAAAAAAAGGTAGCATACTTATGGGCGCAATGCTGCAGGCATTGCGAAAATGCGACATAAAAATTCATTTTATAGCTTGCGTTTTTATTGCCAACAGGCATTGTTTCCGCTGCTGATGCCACCAGCCGCAGCCACTAGGTAATTGTTACAAGCGTTGCCGCTGCTGCCTGCTTTTTGCTGCCGTTTTGCAGGTTTCACACAAAACGTTGCGCATACGCCACGCGGGCCTCATGCATATGCAAAGGCACTCGTGATCCGCTAACAGCAAGTGGCTTTCGCGTGTGTGCGTCGCAATGATAAGCGCATTTTAAGCTTGACTGGCTTCGACTGGCATTGCCGTTGGCCCTTGACATTGGCATTGTCTCCAGGCAATCGCCATCTGCCATTTGGTTATTCGATATCGCTTTTGCAGTCAATTTTGTTTCAAAGGCGCGATAATTGCCCTGCAGGATTTCAATAAGGTCAAAAGGGCATACCCTATGTATGAATATTTTGTTTTATAAATATGTGTATATAATTTTGTATATATATGTATTAATATTTATGCACCTGCCACTCACTCAATTGAAATTACGCTTTCGTATTTGGGACTCCACTTTTTTGCCATTTCATTGAGCACCGACCATGAAAATTGTTTTCATTTCCAATTATTATTTTTATGTGCATTCATTGTCTTTCGCCTTTGGCCTGCGCCTGGTGCCCACGCATGGTTTTATATCCCAATGCTGAATCAGCAGAAATCACAAGTGCCCTTCAATGTACTTGATTAATTTGATCAAGTTCTCCAGACAAGGGGCTAGAAACTCACTCGCCAACTGCCATAGCTGCCACCGCCCCCAACTCCAAGCATAATCTTGACTTCATCGTTATCCCAATTACCTTCCTTAGCATTAACAACACAGTCCCATCTTTGGTAGCCTTCCTTTCTTTTCACTTTTCCCATCTCTACCCATTGAAAGCTGCCTTCGCAGTCGCATGACTTCATGCCGCTTACGTGTCGCATCATGTGGGCTGAACAGAATTGAAACAAATTTGAACATGGCCCTGGCCATTGCGAATGCCACAACCTTCTCCCTGTTCTCTCGCATCTACATAAAAACAACAACAACAACAAGTCAAATCAGAACATCGGTTGGTGGCAGCGATGAACAAGGGAGCGGGCAAGAGCCTTTACAGTGGCAAAAAATACTGAAATTGTTAAAGATGAATACGTTTTTTTAACACCATTTAATCACATTCAAGGTAAGCTTCTCAAGTGCTGCCAAATTTTGTTTGACTAGTTTCGCTCTAAAAAAGAGCGTGTTGCATATGGACTAATTCGCAGCTCCGTGTTCCACTGTGCGTTTGTGAGGCGTTGAAATTAGCTCCTACTCCGAACTGTGTCCTGCTTCGACGTCGACGTCGACGTCGCCGTCTGTTCAAGTGGCGCTAGATAAATGCTGAATTCGTGTCTGGCAGGCGCCCAACATTATTCGTTGGGTGGTTTTGTATCCGTGGGTGGTTTTTGGCACCGCCCTCTCTCCGTTGTCGAGTTGGTAACACGCTTTACTGCACATTAAGACTTGTTTACGAATTTGCTTGTAACATGAAATTAATTTGTAAATTTAAAGGTTGCCAATGGGGCGCCATCAAGCAGTCTCCATTTCCATCTTGCGACTGGCAGCTGCCACAGTGGGACACGTGATGGTCCTATCAAACCACATGCACGAAATTTTAATTATTTGTCTTGCTTTGACATCGTCGCGACCAGGGCAACCCAGCCAGGGAAACTAACCAACCAATCATCCGCTGGCACTTTCTGGCAAGAAGCTGTTGACAAGCTGAAGCAGCGTTGCGGTTTGCCATTCCATATTGATTCATTTATATAATATAGTTGCAGTTCTGTTTTGAACCGGAACAATATTTTGTTCTATTTTAATGGCCACAAGTTTATACACAAATATATTACTCTCAAGGTAAACAAAATTTGCGGGAATCGTTTGACAAACTAAATTAATGATTGCCAACAGCATTCTTCTCAAGCGAACATAAAAAGAAAGATTGGCTTAAAAATAATTAATGCAATCGGTAATTCAAAGGCAGTTTTGGCAGCTCATCTTGAGTCGAATGATTCATTTGAAAAATATTTCAAGCTGTCAAATATTTCAAGGGATATTGTTGTTTAGCTCAACTAAACTCGAAGGATTCGTATTAAAATAATAAAATAAATAAGGCAATCAGAAATTTCAAGACTTTTTTTTCAAATGTAATAAAAGTTCTGCCAAAAATTGTTTAAGACCATTTTAACAATGGCAATTTAAGCACAATATATGTG